CAAATCGTAAATTACGAGATAGAAAATCGTAGCGTAGTGTACACATGTTGCCGCGTGAACGGACCTTCGGGCGAATTCGCTTCACTTCAATATAAATTTAATTAATGCATGGATCAAGACACTGAAGATCAAGTGAGCGGCGGGCGTGATAGGGACAGTAATGTTCGTGTAAAAGAAAAGTCATGCTTTGTGATTTGGCAGAGGTTAATAAACTTGAACTGGTTCGGAAATTGACTTGTTACGGATGGAGATTACTCGAAGGAGTGCAGCTAGGTGAACCATTTATCATGGAATGAAGGCAAAGGGATAAGGTCTATATAGGAATGATATATCACATATCACGCATCAGTTGGATGAACGGACACCAGACTAAACACGATGAACAGGAGCCTAAACACTAGAACTAGTAGTAAACTAAATAACCGTAGAAATAGGTCTGTCAACGACTCCATGCGCATGTCACTTCACACCTGTACTGCAACAACACATTAGTAAATCTGTCATGACAACACACATCTGGCGAGCCAAATCGTACGCGAGCACTCACCTGCTGCAAGAGGTCCGACGAGACCTCCTAGACCATAGGAAAAATGGTAGAACGCCTGGACCATCGGTAGATTCTGTATGCCGAACAAATCCACCAGCATCGTCGTTTCCAGGCTCGCTCTAGCGCCGTAGGCGCACCCGTACAGCACACAGCAGATCGTGAACGACCACGGTTCGCGTGCGAGCAGGAACAAGAAGTAGGTGACGCCGAGGATGATGGTCGCGACGACGAAGACGATGCGACGGAAGAACCACGAGCGGTCGGCGAGCGACGACACGACGAATTGCAGCACGACGTTGCAGATGTTGAGAACTGTGATCATGAGAGCAGCCTGCGAGAGACTCAAGCCCTGCCGGACGCCGTACAACACACCGAACGTCACGAGCACGTTCACACTGAACGAGTTCAGTAGATAATTCAGGCAGTGAAGTACGAACTTCTTCGTGTCCGTAAGCGGCATCATGAGACGGCCGCCCTCGCCGCGGCGCTCGGCCAGCGCGTCCTTTGACGATTGCGGTATTTCCCGGAAGAGGGCGCCAGCTGCTACGCTCTGTAGGTAAATGCCAGCCAAACTGATCATCGTACCTTGCCAGGTATAAAGCTCGATTAGCTTCACACACAGCATGGGTCCAATTAACGCACCCACGGCTCCGGCTGTTGCTCCCAGTCCATTCGCCAGAGAACGCTTCTTGTCGAAATAAAGTCCGTTAATGACAACGGAAGGTGTGTAAATCATTCCTCTTCCAATGCCTGCAAGAAACCATGCACTTCAATAGTGAGAGAATTACTGCATCAGTACTTTAGCTACACTGGCTCAAGTGTCCATAGCATATCCGCGTTCATACACACAACGCTACGTATGCACGAAAAATGCGTGTACCATAATCTTTTCTGAATAAACAGATGAACGAAAGTAAGAGCTGCTTCACGGAAATACACGGCGACACAGGACAGTATACGTGGACTGACTATTCACATTTATAATCTCCTGCGCGCGTGCGGTACGTGGACGTGTGGCGCTGCGGCGTGTGGTACGGTGCGCGTCTGTGTGTTCTGCACGGCTGACCTGACGTTTATTATTAGTCAAAATATCTGTGACATGCTATATATTGTAAACTACCTTGAACAGCGTTCCTGTGTCAGCCGACTGCAGAGAGTATGGCTATCGGCTGTAGGGACGACAGGAGGAGATGCTGGCGGACAGCTGCGCAGTGGTGCTATCAGTTATGCTGCACCAGCGGATCTCAACGTGTTGATCTGTGCATACGGCCTAATGCAGTAAGACAAGAAAGCATTAGCGTTGCAGAGATGGAATTCAGGAAACTTATTTCGAATTCAGGA